TACCAACGGTACTTGGTTATTCCCGTAGATAAAAGGAAGAGCGTTTGTGCCTTTCTATTTTAAAGCAGACATCACATCTAGTATATCTCCTGCTTTCAGCCGAGCCAGACGTCGCAGCTTCAGCCGGCGCGTTTCCTCGCTCTGATCAAAGAAGCGCCACACTGCAGACATTTTCCTTCTGCCAGAAATGTATTTTACTGCACCAAAGTGCAACTCAATAAAAAGAAATGACTCTGAAAAGGCTTTGTCTGCAGATCAGAGTGTAAAAACACTAAATGGGGGGGGAAACTGTGATAATACACATAAAAGCTCGGCCCGCTCCTGTGGGTGTTGTTGGATGCTTCTGTGTTTTTCTACTTCTGTTATGAGTTTTGCTTTTTTGTTGTTTTTGTTTGCCTGTAGTGTTAATAAAATTTCTCATAACCCAGTGAATAATATGAGTACTCACTCAAAGATGGCTGCCACACTACAACAAAGCAGCACAAAAATGGCAACAACTCCTACAATTTCACAATTAATGAGCCAAAATGTGGCGGTATTAGCTGAGAGTCATTACCAACACATACTCTGAGTGCAGCTTCTCATGATGCAGTAGACCCATAAAATTTGCAGGGGTTATGCTCTCAGAGCACCAGCGAATTGTGGAAAAGTCACTAATTTTGGATGAGGTTTCTATTTGTTGCTCCTGATCTTTTCACTCTTGGCAACAGCTTGGCCCTGGAAATAATACTTAAGTCAGTCATGCAGCCAAACATGTGAAAACATGTTGCAAAGACATTTCACTACCTGTAATAAAAAATTTAATTTAAAAAAATGTGTTTGCGGAAGCTGTGGTTGATCTGCATGCTCAGCTCAGTCTTTGTCAAACTGGAGCTTTCTGAATGAAYCTGCTGCAGTTTGTTTACAGGCAGAACTTGCTTTCATACAAACCAGCCACACCTTCACTGTCTCCGACATGCCTGACTTTGTGTTTTTCCTTTTTTGTGTGTGTGTGTGTCTTTAATTGTGACAGTGCAAAGACAAGCTGTCGCCTTTCACCAAAACTCCGAAGTTGGACCGGAGTGAGTTGCTGGGGAAGGAAGGGAAAGCCAAGTCTTCCATGAAGCGCAAGCTTTCCTTCACTACAAGTCCACCCCGGACCGAGGAGCGAGACTCGGATACTGGTGAGTGTGTGTGTCSCCTGCATCAAACTGCCCCGGCTGCTGGCTCGCTGCCATGTTGTAACACTGCCCCCTGTTGGTGAGAAAAGATTTCTGTGGCGGCTCCGTCCTCTGAAGCAACATGGTTCAAAGCTGCATCGATCCTTTTTGATAAAAACCTTTCATTTATAATATTCCACTCTTCTTACCAACATTAATGTTTAAAATGTGAGACAAGCTTGACTGAAGCCGCAGTAGCCTTTGATTTTTTTTTGGGTAAATTTAAAATCCTCATATTTTAATTTGACTCCAGTTGTAATGAGTCGGGATAAAAAATGTAAATATTCTGCCTCGTCACTGTTGTAATCCGCTCCAAAACAAATWGATTTAAATTTCACTTTAAATATCWGGGTGTAAATGTTTTGACTGATGGTTTCTGAGGACCYCTCGACAAAAAAAACAAGTATATTTTAATCTTTATTTTAATTTATCTTTTTATAATGTTCACGTTTTAGTATTTGAGTGGTGTTTGAGCTTCTGTCGGTCTCGACCTGAACTCTCTAATAAATAAGACTTTAAAGTAAATAAATAAGCTATGTTGTTGGTTTTATTGACACTCATTGGGAAGCTTTTATTGCTTTTACATTAACAAAATGAGCTGTTAAGTTCTTTTGGGTTCAGTTGTTTTGTCCCACTCCACAAAAACCTACTAAAAAGATTTTAGACTCTCTTCCTTTTATGAAATATTTATCTTTAATATGTTTTGGGAGTTGTTTGATAAGCATCACATCTGTGTTGAAGGTAGTATACAGTATGTATTCAGCTCACTAATGTCCTCCATCTCGTCTGTAAAATTAAAATAAATCTAGGTTCCTCTGGAGTTTGGTTTGTGGCTTTTTAAAGCCTTTTGTCCACAAGTATCATGAAAACCAAAACAACAAAGAGCTGCTCCAGCTGAGCTGTGGTCTGTCAGATCTTACAGCTCCTAAAAAACTGTTAAAAACTCATCAGTCAGCTTAACGTTTGTTGTTTCAAACATTGTCAGTGGTTCTTATATTTAGTCTCCGTACAGCAACATTAAAATAAAGTTCTGCCATCTCTAAAATGTCTTTTTTGTTTGTAAATGCAGATAATTTAGCCTGAATTTCAGTAAAAAATGTGACCAGAGCTGGCAAAATGAGTCATAATGAGGAATTTTCAACATCCTAAAGAGACGTAGTTTGTTGGAAATTTGGCGATTTGTCACCTGGAAACAAGTACCTGTTTGAAAACTCTGTATTTAATTCCAGCTCTGTATTTAAAAGAGGGAACACGCTTCACAATAGCTCCAGATATTATATGAAGGGATTTCCCACATCTACAGCAGCCAGCAGAGAAACATGATTTAGAGTTAAAACACAAAATATTGTTTCTGAAGACCTAGCTGTTAGAAAACTTAGATTTTAAAAGTAAATTAGAAAGAATATTTGCTGTTTTAGTAACCAGCGTCACTATGTTGTCTTTATGAGCTCATTACGTCCAAAATAAATACTTATATGGTTTTTGCTCTGACTCATTTTGCCAGCACTGGTCACAGATTGTTTTTTTTCCAACGTATTTAAAATTTATATATTTTAATTGGTTTTTAGACCTTTCTTTTCAGTTTTTAAGACCAGACCAACAATTAACACAAAGGCTGCCTTATTAATGAAAACTCCATAGAAAAGCTACGCTACTAGCATCAAGTTTATCACTGGAAATCCAAACATTTTGAAGACGGATACCTTCAGCTTTTAATTCAGACTTAATATTATACAGATGTGAAAACTCACAGCTTTCTACTGCAGGGATGTACAGTACCTTCACTTAAAGTGGCCGCACAGATTAAAGTAAACAAAATCAACTTTTGACTTTTAAAAATCGATTCAGAATCTTCTAAAAACAGATTTCATCCCCCTCTCCTAGCAGTAAACAACCAACTAAAATTCTCATGCTGCCGTCTCACTTCAGTAAACTCGGTTGTGTTTACATCAGGTCTGAAAGCTAAAAGTCAGTTTGTGTATCCTTGATTACAAGAAGTGAAGTTTATTTTTACAGACGGCTTCAGATCTTCTCTGTAGAGCAGAGATCATCGTTGTGACTTTCATTGTGTGGTCCTGCTTCCTTTAAAGAAAAAAAACCCTGTAATTTGTGTCACTGGTTTTTAGGGTGGCTTTGCCGTTCACCATCCCCCCCCCACCAGTGTTTGTCAGGTCCGGTGCAGGAGGGAGGGAGTGGAGTAACGAAGCGCCTGATTGGATCTCCCGTGTTACCATGACATGTTCTGTGGCGTGGACTGTGACTCGCTGTATTTTGACTACATGTGGAATGAGGAGGGTGTGAGAGCGTGAGCGTTAATGCAGTGCTTTCCCACCCTTTCACCCCCCCTCCCCTCTGCTTTGCACTGTAGATGACTCAGACCCAGGCCAGTCGAGTGAGACCTGGGGAGAGAGATTAGTGCCTCCCTGCAGGATATACGCAGGTAACCGCTGCAGCCCGATCCTCGGCCCCCTTTCTCCTCCTTCGAGTCACGTCACGCACGCACTCTGCGCTACTGCTCCACGCGAGCACACACGCACACATGCACGTGTGTGTTTCCTGCTCTTTGCATCTGCCCCTGTTACAGCTCAGCATGTCTGTTTCGTAACAACCGACTGGACAAGAGGGGGGGCCTTGAAGAGTGCCGTCTGCACTTTGACTGGCTTAGAGAATCCTGTTTGTTTCTGTCCTCCTTTCCTTTTTTCCCCTCTTTTCTTTTAACCCTCATGCTTGTCATCTGTTTCTCTGCGTGTCCAACAGATACAAGAGGAGGAGGAAACTGTTAATGTGACAATAAATCTGCTGTTTTTTTTTAAAAAAGTCACTTTTATGACTTTTTAAGTTTTTTTTCCATCCCTCTCTTGATTCTGTTGCAGATAAAGATGGACCAGATAAAAAGAAGATGAAGAAGGAGGCTGGGAGCAAAAAGTCCCAGTCATCAAACCTTTTATTTGGGTATCCGCTGTCGGAGCGCAAACAGATGGCTCTTCTCATGCAGATGACTGCCAACAGTCCAGGTTGGTGAATTTGCCTTTTAACCTCAACTTTATCCTCGAGTGTTTCTTACGTCTAAGTCGCATTTCTGAGCTTTCTGATGGTCTGTGAGTCATTTACTTAACAAAAAACATACTTTCAGGTTCCCAGTGCTGCTCAGCCTGATGCAGCGGGGTCAAACTCATGTTCAGAGGGCCACATGAGCATTATGGTGGCCCTAGAGGGGCCAGTTGTAATTAACTTGTCACTTTCCTCGTCTCACTGCATGACTGAACTCCGCTAACAAACAATGACTGAGCTCTACCTGGTATTCCCTGCAGAGAAGCAGCGTTTTATCATGTCCTCTTAAAAACACTGTAAAGTACTACGTGTACGACTGATTAAATGTGAATTAAATACAGAAATACTATTAAAACTAAGAGTTTTACTCACTGTTAAATTGTGACGAGTAGCTGCTGTCTTGATTTTTGAACCCTCCCACATTCCAACAGGGAATTCCCACTGGAGGAATAATCCAGTTTCAGTTTACAGCTTTTAAGTGGGAAATTCTCAGTTCCCAGTACAACTGGGCAGCAGTAAAAGTAACCAGTGAAAATGCAGCGAAATGAAGATTTAACACAGCAAATGTCTCAGCTGACAGCGACTTTTGAAGCCTGTGCAGCTCCATTTTGCAGGTAAAGTAATCAAGGTGCATTATGGGAGATGTAGTTTATGGTCAATGTTGGCTTTAAAGCAGCTTATGTTAAGACACTAATATATCTTTAAAGCTCTGAGACCCCGCAGGTCTCGAGTTTGACACGTGGCCTGGTGGCTTGGTCATTAGACCAGAAAAACTGAGGTAAATTAAATGTTTTATTTTCTGACAATCTGCTGGGAGTCAAAGCTTTTAATGACTTTGTTATATTTGTATCTTTATCTCAGTTATATGACTTATTTTACTTTAACAGTGCTGGCTCAAGAGGGGAGAACTCATGAGGATACTGAGAACCCTAGCAAATGTTTTGGGACCTTCTATGAAGTCAGTCTCAGCCCCAATGGCTTCTAGATTAGAGATACCTCATTCCCCTGGCTTGTATGGTTTTTGGACTGGTTTGTATTTCTTGCTGAGCTCAAAATGTTCTCCTGTGAAGTTTTCTCTTTGTAAATAAGGACGTACCCATTCCTTGCAGTTGGAGAACATTTTTCTTCCAAGTGCTCAAAACATTTAATGATTCAACTGTTTTTCTAAAGAGATTTTTGTTTTGGGAGCCTGAGGATGAGCTGTTTAACTTGTATTAAGGACCACTTTGAGTTTATTTAAAACAACTATTTAAGTGATGGAGAGTCCACTTTCCCATGAAACACAATGTTCAATTTAAGTTTATTCACATTATTGATGAACAGTTTTTCATCGTTACCAGGCCTTTGTTTCAGTCTCTTTTCTTTTTTTTTCTCGTGTCCAGACTCGACGCCCAGCCACCCCTCCCAGACGACCCCTGTGCAGAAGAAAGTCCCCAGCAGCGCCTCGTCCCGGCAGAAGGACAAAGTCAACAAGAGGAACGAGCGCGGTGAGACCCCCCTCCACATGGCGGCAATCCGAGGAGACGCCAAGCAAGTCAAAGAGCTCATTAGCCTGGGAGCTGATGTCAACGTCAAAGACTTTGCAGGTACGAAGCTGCAGGAGATAATTATTTAACAGCTTTCATTAAGTCTGAATGCTTCTAATGACATAAAGCTGTGAAGCAGCTGCTGATTCATAGATTAAATCTCGATGAGATAACGGGACGATCAGGCAGTCGGCATGTGACGAACTCTTCTGCAGATGTTGTTTTGTGCTTGAAGAATAGAAATGGGATGAAGCTGAAATAAATAGCAGGTGTGAACTTTAAAAAAACAAACTTTTTTTTTTACCCCCGCTCTCTCCAGGTTGGACTCCTCTTCACGAAGCCTGTAATCTGGGTTACTACGATGTGGCGAAGGTTTTGATCGCAGCAGGTGCGGAGGTGAACACGCAGGGTCTGGACGACGACACGCCGCTTCACGACGCTTCCAGCAGCGGACACAAAGACGTAAGAGAGAAACCTGCAAACTGTAAACACGTACTGAAAGTCTCCTCATGGGTCTGACATACACTCACTGCCTGCCTGATCCACTCTGCTAGCACCGAATACCTGCGTTAATTCTTTAAATTCTACAAGATCCTGCTCCAAATCAACATATTAGCATCACAGTGTCTCAGATTAATAAGCTGCATGTTTATAATGTGAATCTCCTGTTCCATCACATCCCAAAGCTGATGGATTGGATTGAGATCTGGTTTTTGTGGAGACATTTCAAGTCCAATAAATCTGGATTAACCTGTGAAGTGTAACTTCAGTTTCTTGTTCTTAGCTGATGTGGTCCTCATCACTGATGGATATTTTTATTTATTTTTTAGAACATTCTCTTTAAACCCTAGAGATGTGTGGAAATTCACATTAAAAGTCACTTAAATCCTCTTTCTTTCTCATTCCGACACCTGGTTTGAGCTTCAGCGAGTCGTCATCACCTCCCCTACATGCCTAAAGGGATTACGTTGCTGCCATGTGATTGGCTGATTAGTTATTTCTGTTAACAAATGTTTGAGCAGGTGTTGCTAATAAAGTGGCCGGTGAGTGCATCTGTGGCTGTTGGAGAGAAAACGGTAACACCTCAATAAAAAGTTATAATTTTGATGGAAATTTACGGTCGTAGCCAAAAGTTGAGAATGCCTTCAGTTATTTTTGTGACGAGGTAATTTTCATGGTAGGGCCTGACTTTACCTTTAAAGTGCCTGTGACATGCATATTCTTCAAATACAAAAAGTCAAAGAAAACATCTTTATATTTAAGAAAGTTGGAATAATGCACTCGATTTTACCCATTCTGTCCCATAACGGGCCTATTTTCTTTTGAACTTGGCTCAGCCAAAGTGAAACAGGAAGTGACATCAAAGGGGAACTCATTAATAAAATAAACTCTCTGGTCTTTGTTAATTGAAACAATATTATTTAAATTCTGACTCTTCATCTCTGATAGAGACTCAAAATGATCTAAAGAAACATCAGATTATTCTCTACAGTCTGTGATGTTGGCTGTTGTAGCAACGCACTGTTCACATGCAGACATTCCCTTTGACATCACTTCCTGTTTCTTCACGGGCAAATATCTCAACAACTGTTCATCTCAGCGACATGAAATTTCTTTTGCAATATTTTATCAATGTCCTCTTTCTAAAAATGCATTCACATGTATTACAAAAATTTGTCGTCACAGGCACTTTAATAATTAATTTAATCACTCTTCAGTCTAGAGTCTGTAAGTCCAAACTTTTGTCCAGGACTATAGTTTTGTTGTACAAAAAATAAAACATTTCAACTCAAAAGTTGTAAATTTAAGTTTAATAATCAGACTCTAAATATATTTTACAACCAAACAACTCAAGTTTAATTAAATTATGTCTAACTTTGAATTTTCTGAAGCCTAATCCTCCTAATTTTTATATTATTTTAAATCCTCAGATTGTAAAGCTTCTCCTTCGTCACGGCGGTAACGCCTTCCAAGCTAACAAGCGTGGCGAGCGGCCGGTGGACGTGGCGGACTCTCAGGAGCTGGAACAACTTCTTAAAGGCGAGGTGGCCATGTCGGATCAAGATGAAACCTCTTCAGGTTGGCTCTTGTTTTAATATAACTGCACCACTGCTTTGTTTTATTTCTAAAATGTTCAGAGATTTTCTTTGATGCGTCTAAAAATGATCTTTTCTTCCCTGCAGAATCTGAAGACCCCCCGTCTGTCAACCCCTCCAGCGTGGACGACAACATAGAGGACACCGACACTGAAAAAGACTCGGATGGCAAAACGGCCACAAAGACGTCGGGCATGGACGAGTACGAGTTCAAGGACGACGAGGAGGAGGAGGATCTGAGCAAAGCCCTGAACGACAGACACATCCCCAGGAGGGAGCTGCGGCAGAGAGAAAAGGAGGACAAAGACAGGAACCATGTGGCGGCAAAGCAAAACAAGGGCGACTCTTCCTCCAAGTCCAAAAAGCAGAAAACGCCTCAAGTGCACTGCAGCTCCGACACCTCCAGCGACGAAATGGAGAGCGTGTCCGAAAAAAGGAGCTCGCCCACCTGCTCTCAGAGCTCGGAGAGCCACAAGCCAGACGGGAGGCTGAAAAAAGACGTCGCGGATCAAAAGGACAAGGGCAAAGTGAAGAGGAAGAGCAAAAGCCAGATCAAAAACAAGGAGAACCAGGAGGACGGGAAAGAGAACAGCAAAGCTTTGGTTCTCTCTCTCGCCACCGTGTCAGAGAACACGGAAAAGTGTCGGGAGGAGGACTCCTTCAAGATGTCCTTCAGCCCGAAAGACGACTCGTCTGTCCACCTCTTCCACTTGTCGTCCATCAAGGCCCCGAAGCTGAACCACAGCTTGGCAGATAAACAGAGTCCACTCAAACAGGAAAATACTAAGATCTCCATCTCTGACAGCTCGTGTCCTTTGGACAAATACAATCACTACTCTGATGGTGATTACTGCACTGAGAGCTCCAGCACCAAGGGCTGCAAACACCGGGAAAAGAGTAAACACCAGCAGAAAGACTTGGGCCTGGACGGAGACGACGGACACTCGAGTCCCTACAAAGACAGCAGCATAGGAAACAGCTTGGACGGCAGCGAGGGCACCTTACGGAAGACAGATTTAGACGGCAAAGTAGTGAAGAAGCATAAAATTAAACACAAGGAGAAAGATAAACACAGGAGGGAGCACGAGGCCGAGCGGAGCCGCCACAGGCAGAAGGAGGCCAGGAAAGACGGCCACAGGAATTTGGAATTTGACAGGGAGTTCTGGAAAGAGAATTTTTTCAAAAGCGACGAGGCAGATGAACTTCTGGGAGTGAAAAAGGAAGGCGAAGACGTCAGCTCGCTTCAGAGGCCGTCCGAGACGTCTCCCGTCAAAGATGAGAGGAACTCGAAGGAGAGGCACTCCGGCAGCAAGGAGAAGAAGCCGAGAGAGGAGCGAGAGAAAGAGAGGACTGTGAAAAAGGAGAAGGTGAAGGATTTGAAACCGAGCGAGCGTGACGAGAAGGTGGACTGTCACGGGTCAGGGTGGGTTCTGGAGGAGCCGCCGCAGAACAACAGCCTGAAAGAGGAGATGGAAGAAAAACCCATAAGCGGGATCTCAGCTGATCAGGACCAGCTGGAGCCCTCTGAAAAAGGCTCACGTGAGAAATCTGACAAGAGGCTTCTGGGAAAAGAAAAGGATTCAGATAAAATGGAGAAAAAACACCTCGAGAAGGAAAAAAAGATTAAACTGGAACACTCTGACAAAGCTGAGCCACAGAACTCGGTGGACCGTTGGAAGGAAAAAGAGAGAACCGTTTCTTCCCTCTCGCCTACAGATAAAAGCTTCAGAGAGAACGAAAGGCTGAAATCTTTATCTGCCGTCAAGAAACACGAAGACGGCAGGAAAAATAAAGATAAGTTTGACAAACGGTCCGATAGGGAGAGGCAGGACAGAGAATACATCGCAGGGGATCACAAAGACCGGGATCGTACGAACGCTGATAGGAGAGGAAAACCTCTGGAGAAGTCCTCGGATCACAGCAAGTCTGATCGCTTTAAAGAAAAGGACTGTGACCGGAAGAAGAGAGATAAGATAAAAGATGGAAGCCTTTCTTCAAGCTCCAATCTGAAATTACTTTTAGAAGATAAGAAAAGTTATCTGTCAGAAAGCACTAAGGTCTTATCTCTGAAATCAAAGGAGGAAGTTGCGAGAACTCCAGAGAAGGATCGCGACCGGCGGGACCGGGACTCTGACAGACACAGGGACAAGGATAAAGACCGGCACAAAGATCGCTCCCAGCAGGCCAAGATCAACAAACTGAGGCCTGCCGAGGCCGACGCAGAGAAGACCAAATCCAAGTCCTCCGCAGCGTCACGAGACGGCAAGCCGAAGGAGAAACGGCTCGTAAACGACGACCTGATGCAGACCAGCTTCGAGCGTATGCTCAGCATGAAGGACCAGGAGATCGAGCTGTGGCACCGGAAACATCTGGAAAAAATCAAGCAGAAGGAGCGAGAGAGGCTGAAACAGCGGCCCCTGGCTGATCTGGGGAAGTCCAAACCTAAAGACAGGACAAAATCAGAACCATATTTGAGTAAGGAGCTGATCCGCTCGAAAAGCTCCGAAGCACCTGAGGTCCACAGCAGAGACAGATCTCTGAAGGACGGCATGAGCCCCAGAACCGTGTCTCTGGACGGGAAGAGTCTGCCCACCATCGGGGCAAAGGTCATGTCGGCCGTAGAGAACTGCCTGAGCAGATCGCCTCGGCCCGAGAGCGAGCGCGGCGGCCTCATGTCCCGCTCCGTGTCCATGCACTCCGTGGTGAGCTCGGAGGACTCCTGCCAGGCCTCCACGCTAACGCCCAGAAACGCCGAGTACGACTCGGACATGAACCTGGAGGCCTCGGACTCCCAGCAAGCGTTTCTCCAGTCTTCCCTCATCATCCAAGCTGCCAGGTCTCCGTCTGTCCACGACAAGGACTGTAACAGTCTTCCAGATGTCCTCCAGACCAACCGGACACCGCTGCCGGGCAAACACGAGTCCCCGTACCTCAGGGCCATTCTGAACGAGGACGCTAACTCCTCCGCTGAGGGGAAAGCTGTGGAACATCTGCCCAAGTCCAGCCCGACCGGCGCCACGGGAGAGGAACTGAGACCGAAGGAGACCTCAGAACCTGAAGAGAGCCCCAGCTGTCAACTGAACTCCAACTCCGTCCCCGATCCAGGAGGTGAGGGGGACGGAGGCGCAGCTGGGTGTTCGGACTCGCAACCGTTAATCAGAGATCTTCCAGGTAAAAACCTGAAAATCCCACATTCCAGTGCCTCTGAGACCGGGTCAGCAGAGCAGAGAACTCCACTGGTCTCTGACCCGGTTGCAGATAAAGACCCCCCGTGTCTGATGGAGGTCTCACAGGGAGAAGAATCTGATCAGCCTTTAGTGTCTGCAGAGTCTCCAGAACCATCCACTCCCACAAACACCAGAACCCTCCAGCAGAGAGACCCACTACCACCTGCTGGTACTGAGAACCAGCAGCAGTCCCAGTCAGGGAGCCCACAGGTTTCTGACCACAGTGACCAACCTGTGGAGACCCCCGACAGACCAGAGGAGGAGGACATGGATACCAGTTCAGAAAACCTACGATCAGAAAGGCCGGGGAGTCCGGTGCCGCCCCCCAGTTTGCACATTCCCACCTCTGCTGAAGGGGAACCCTCACCGGGTTCAAACAAAACCGAGTCCAAAGGTTCTGAAGAGGACGGGATCCTAAATAACCCGGACTGCAGGAAGTCCTGGCCTTCCAGTGACGATGCAGACCCGTGTGTCGAGTCTCAGACGGAGGACGGGGCGACCTGTTTGAGTCCCGAACACAAAGCTGAGGACATGACCGACGTCCCAACAGAGCCCAACAGAACCGAGAGCTCTTCACTCGAAGGCAGTCTGAGTTCAGAAGGAACCTCTGAGTCCAAACCAGAGGTCCACCCTGAGCCGATGGAGGCCTCGCCACCTGACGAGAAACTGGAGTCGTCGTCGTCTGCAGAGGAGCCGAGTCCAGCCAGCGTCCAGCAGCTGGCTCAGGCCGACAGCAGCACCGCCTCAGGGAGCTCCTCGCCGCAGTCCGGAGACCAGGAGTCCGACTCCTCAGGAGCCAAGCTCAAGCTCCGCCCCGCTGACGAGGAACTGGACGTCCACGTTCCGCACCCACGCAAGAGGAAGATGCCCAGGCTGTCGAGCTCCCAGCTGAGCTCTGCAGCTCAGCAGGAGAGGGAGAAGTGCCAGCAGTCCCTCGCCGCCATCGTGGACTCGGTGAAGCTGGAGGAGATCGAGCCCTATCAGACGGAGCGAGCCAACCCGTACTACGAGTTCCTGCACATCCGGAAGAAGATCGAGGAGAAGCGCAAAGTGCTGTGCAACGTCACGCCCCAACCGCCGCAGTATTATGATGAATATGTGACCTTTAATGGATCCTACCTCCTGGACGGGAACCCACTCAGCAAACTCTGCATACCAACGGTGAGTCTCCTTTCAGGTCTGACAAAAACTTTACATTTAGATCTGTTCGGGTTGGAAATGAATCTGACATTAAAGTAAATGCTCATAGGTAGATGTAATTAGTTTAAGATTTATTTGTGGGTAAAAGTTTGACAGTGATTCACAAACTTTTCAGCTTCCGACCAACAAGCTAACAGTGACAGAAACTTGTGACCACAGCTGTTTTTATTTACTGATAACATGATTTATTTCTCCTCACAATCATGGCAGAAAAAAAAGATCAGTTTAACATTTAATGTAGCTTGTGCAAGTCATCTCAGGACTCAAAACTTGGATGTTTTTTGACCCAGAATAGGATCCGAACCCCAACTTTAGAAACCCTACAGTAAATCTGCCAGTGTCTAAACCAGGGGTCTGCAACCTTTTACAATCCCTGACTCACTAATAAAATGAGTCCAGAGCCATAAAACATTATCAACTGATGGTCCGTGGGCCACATTGAGTTTGTTAAAGGGATCCATGATTAGTTGTAACATCAGACTTTATTTAATAAACATATATTTTAACTGTAAAATAAAGACTATAAAAATACTGTAGGTTTGAGAAGAACCTCAGCTTAGCCTGTTAGCTTTAGCGCCGCCGACGCTATTGCCTTATTTGTTTTAGCTCGGCGCTAGCGTGACAAACTAACAAGCTAAACTGAGGTCCTCTATCCATATTTTCAGTTGCAGGCTGAGTCATTTTTGCGTTCCCTTCTCTGTCATGTGGATGGAGGACCTCAGTGATGAGAGGAGAATGTGTAGCGCTGAGCTAATACATACTGTATATATAGTGATAGCGTCGGGGCTAATGCTAAAGCTAACAGGCTAAGCTGAGGTTCTTCTTCCATGAAGCAGCTCTGTTGTCCTCCATCCATATTTTCAGTTACAGACTGAGTCATTTCTACCTTCTCCTCTCTGTCAACGATCTATGGTTTCATTTAAAAGAGTCGATCATCAGATATTGTCCAAGATTAACCTTCAGGGTGGATATAGCTCGCTCACACCGAGGACCTATCCACGTCATCATTTACCCAGAATGCTTTGTGTGTAAATAAAATAGCTCAGTCCGTGTTAAAATATATTTTTAAAAATTTAGTTTAAAAATTATAAAAACTAAACAGCCTACAGTATTTTTACAGTCTTTATTTTACATTTAAAATAAATGTTTATCAAATAAAGTCTAATGTTACAACTAATCTTGCTTCCCTTTAATTGGGGGCCTTTCCAGCCAGTGGAGGTGACATTATAAAAGTGAAATATGTAGTGAATTTTATCATTTATTGTTTTTACACTTTAGGGTAGACCATATCTATGCAAACAAGAAAAATACTGTGTATAGTTTATTTATACTCAGTATTAATAAAAATTACAACTGAACTATGCAGTCTTAAAGATCAGTTAGATTACTGAAGAGGCCAACAGCCAACTACACCACAAACAAACAGATTTTACTCACCAGCATTCAGATGTCACACAGGAAATCTCCTGGATTTGAGGTCAGAGCGGTCCAGACGTCCTTCTGAGCCGACATAAGATGTTCAGAAACTCAGCTGACCCACAGTCCAAAGCTGCACCTGAACGCCTCAAACAAAACACTCGCTGCTTCTCGTCGGCTCACATGTTTATGTTTCTTTCCTCAGATAACTCCGCCCCCGTCGTTACCCGAGCCGCTGAAAGAAATGTTCAAACAACAAGAAGTGGTCCGGATGAAACTACGGCTGCAGCACAGCATCGAGAGGGTAGGCAACCGCCTTAACCCCACAGAAAGGTTGGGTTTACGACACGACCTGACTCGATTTTTATCCCTTCAGGAGAAGTTGATCGTTTCCAACGAGCAGGAGGTCCTACGAGTTCACTACCGGGCAGCGAGAACACTAGCCAATCAGACTCTGCCTTTCAGCGCCTGCACCGTCTTACTGGACGCAGAGGTATACAACATGCCTCAGGACATCCAGGTGAGCAAAACGAAGCATGAAAACTGTTTTTCAGTTCAGTTTGGTAAATATTGTTTTATTTTGTAGAACGATGACGGCAAAACGTCAGTAAGAGATCGGTTCAACGCCCGGCAGTTCATGTCCTGGTTACAGGATGTCGACGACAAGTTTGACAAACTGAAGGTACGACTTTTTGTTGTTATTATTATTAGTAGTATTATGTGCAGAAGTTCTTTATTGTTTGTGTGGAATTGTTTTATCCCGCTTTTTTCTTACACCTACACTGTCTTCAAAAAGATGAAACCTGAACAGGTTGATTAAATTTAGTTTTTCTGGTGAACAGACAGCTAAAATTGCGCCCCTCTTTTCCCTCCTCAGACGTGTCTTCTGATGCGGCAGCAGCACGAGGCGGCAGCTCTGAACGCCGTGCAGCGTCTGGAGTGGCAGCTCAAACTGCAGGAGCTGGACCCGGCCACCTACAAGTCCACCAGCATCTTRGAGATCCCCGAGTTCTACATCCCGCTGGTGGAGGTCAACGACGACTTCGACCTCACGCCGATATGACGGGAAACGAAAAAAAAACAAACAAACAGGAAATGAAGCACTTAGAAAGTGGCGCCGGAACAACGGAGCACTTATAAACGAGACAGTTTTACTCCAGAGCTTTTAAAGTCTGACGTAGGAGGACCAGGATGGAGGACTGAGCAGGAAGATGGCGTCAGGAACCAGAAGAATCTGGGCGGGTCGGAGCCGCCGCCGCTCGTCACGCAGGGTCACGCAGCTGAAAGGTTTCAAATGTTTTCAGTGTGTTCATACATTTTGTACAGGCCGTGCTCTTAATTTTTTAACTTATTTTATACATTAAAAATGTGCATTTGTACATAATTCTGTAATTATTTTAAACCTGTAAAAACAAAAAAATAGATATTTTGATTGTAAACTTGTCGTTTGTTTTAATGGACCAAAGTTGTTTTTTATATTGAGTGTCCTCTGCGTTCGTGATGTTCTTGTTGTTGTTGGCTTTTTGTTGTTGTTTACTTTCCTTTAATCGTCTCCTCCTTCCTCACCTGGAGCTTCACGCCACAGCCGGTGTGTTTGACTTTTAAAGCTGTGCATGCGTTCCCATGTTCGTACTTCCCCCACTTTTTAAAAGCTGTCATGTGCAACTTAATTGTGAAGTTTACTGATGTGTTTCAGCATTTTATTTTATTTTTCTCCCCAACATTGTGTCTCTTCCGCCTCCTCATGTGTTGCTCATTGTGTCTGGCGCACATTAAAGTCTGTTGCTTCCAAGAAAAGAAAAATGAAAAGGAAAAAAAAAACTTTTACAGTTTCAATGTGAGATCACAACAAATCCTATTTTTTCAACATAATGCCTTTTGAACGATAGTTCTAAAATATGTCTATTTTAATATTTACTTGTTACATGACCTGTACATATTTGTAATATATYATTGAATAAATTTTATTTGTTGTGAAACTACTTTTTGTCTCCTGAATTGTTTTGTGGGTGCAGAGTTCTGTTCAGACAGCAGGTGGCGCTGCTGACAGCAACAAGAAAACCTGTTAACTTTTATGAGCTGTTTTACTAATTCTAGCTTTATGATTTAAGAATTTTAGCTCGTATGTAATATTTTGAGCATTTTAGCTTGTAGGTAGGCTACAGTTTCAATATTTTTAGCTCAGGTAGGGTTTTCAAATTTTTTTGTAACTTTTTTGCTAAATTTATGTCGATTTTGCTCAGCTTGGCTGGTAGTTCAGCTGATTTTAATGTTAAGGTATTATTTTGTTTATTTTATATTGTTTTGCTAAATGTGAGTAAATTTTTTGGCATGATTTTGCTAATTGTTTGGCTTGTTTTAAAATTTTCACCTCAGTCTGAATTCATTCTTTAGTTTCACAGAAAGTCTTTTTAGATTAATTTCATTCTGTAAACAAACATTTCAGATTCACGTCCTCTTCCTTGATCTGAAACCATTTCCGGACTCTTATCCTCCCAGCGGCTGAAAGGGGGTCGGTGTGTTTGTTGTGGCCCCCCTGCTCTGGACACCTGTGGAGCCGGAAGTGGCCCTCAGAGCCGGGTGGGTCCAGATGAGCGCCCTCTCCTCAGCAGGGAGCCGCTCAGCTTCACAGCTCCAGAGTGAAGCTTTCTCACCTGATGAGCTCCCAGTCCGTTGATAGACCAAACAAAGGCCTCTTTAATCCTGTGGGGGTAGTTTGAAAAGAAAAAGAGAGAGAGAAAAAGATCAGAACCGAGTCCAGCTCACGCGTTTGGAGCGGATTTTACGCAGCGTCTTTTTACGCACGCAGTTCCTTTTTCTTGGAGTTTCTCTGCTGAAGGGAGGCGGGTCAGTGTAAAAGCTCCCCCCCTCCTCGGGCTTCTGGGCTCAGATTTTATGGGACCTGAGAAAGAGGAGCGAGTTTTTTTCTTCTTCTTCTTTCTCTTCTCCACAAAGCTGCGCTGGAAAATGGACCGTGTGCCTTTAAGGCGCCCGACTGCCTGTCGCTTTGTGCTGTGGAGAGACTGACGCCCTGTGGACACAGTGGACAGAAACACCATCCTGGAGAAGTTCAAAGTGAAAACAACCTCAGTCCTCCTTAAAGAAGACAACCTGAACACCTCCTAACTGCGCTGTGGTGAGTTTAAAACCAGCTCATATCGTTGATTTCTGGTCTGTTTTTGCGCGTGGGTTCGATTTAGATTGAAGGGAAACAGGAAAAAAAAGAAGAAAGAAGAGAAACGAGGTTAAAGAAACGCGCTCAGGAATGAGGCAGCTTTTGTTCCTCACATGTTTCTCCCTCATGTGGAGTGAGACTTTAACGTGCAGCGAGCTTGTTTGGGGTGTAAAGGCAGGGAAAGTGTGACACGGGAGTGAAATAAGCTGGAGGTGAAGGGGGGGAGCTGATGTTTCCAGATGTTGTGATTCTTTGCCTCTGAATGAAACGTGTCTGCAGGCCTTCTTTTGGAAATGTGACCTTTTTGCATGACACAGCAGTGATTTCCAGGATGTTTACAAGACAATTACAAACACTTCCTTTAGTATTTTACATTTAAAAGTTAAGCTTGGAGATGCCAGAGGAAATATTTTGCTCTCAGAAGAGAGAAAAAAAAAAGATTTCAGAGTAAATGTGACCACTTTTCTGTTTGTTTTTGTTCTGTAAGGTATTTCTCAGTTGGATGCCGGTGTGAGCCACCAGGATGGGGCCTGCTCAGCTGATCCTCCCCACCACAGCAGCCCTCCTCTTCCTCCTGTCAGGACTGTCCCCGACCTCCGGCTGCAACAAGGCCCTCTGCGCCAGCGACGTCAGCAAGTGTCTCATCCAGGTGAGAAGCTGCACTTGGCGCCGAACGAGCGTGTCGAAACCGTGGACCGCAAAGTTGTGATTCTGGGTCGTGTGGTTTCGCCCCCGAATGATGCAATCTGGTTCCTGAACCTCTGGAGATGATCTCTGCAGATAAAATCAGGAGGAAAAACTGCAGCCAAGATTCCCTTCTTCCAGCTGTTTCACATAAATAGACACGAACGCAGGTCTTTGCTCACTTTATGGGTTTTGAAATGGTCGTAATTCAGTTTATTTATACCTGAGACAATTCACAACAAAAGTCGTCTCAAGAGAAACACAGGTCCAGCTCAGATCCAGAATCTAATCCACTTTGCTTCCTGCTATAATGACGTACATTAGTTAAAGTTGTGTAAAATGTTTGGCTCGTAGCAGCTTTCTGCACAGATTTACTCAGATTTAACATCATAACTGTCTTTAATCAGGTGACTGTGATGCAGCAGAATACTGCTGTTTACTGATGGAGGTACAGAGACATGGTGGGTCCAAAAACAACCAGAGACAAACATTAAACCAGAGACAAACTCATCCAAACACTGGTTTTATTCCTTTTATAATAAAGTCAGTTTAAATACAGCACACGTCCTGGCTACCTGGACAGGTATGGACACATGTCCTGTCTACCTGGACAGGTATGGACACATGTCCTGTCTACCTGGACAGGTATGGACACATGTCCTGTCTACCTGGACAGGTGTGGACACATGTCCACTACCTGTGAAAGTTCAGAGACTAAAAGGACATGTGTGGACACAATTTGTGTGTCTGTCTTTTCAGGACACTTTCATTTCGCAGCTCCGACTTCTTCTGTTGACTCTCTGACATCATTTCCTGTCCGTCACTTCTTCATACGTGCCAAATTAATTTGACATCTCAGACGCTGTAGAAAAAAATGATAAATGAGAATAAATAATGTCCAACCTGCTCTGCCCCTAGAAATAAGTTCCCCACCTCTCCTTGTGCTGTTGTCTTCCCCTCACCTGTATTTCTGTATTTCCCTGCGGTCAACAGTCCTCATGCCCCCACCCCCGGGTGAGTAATACCGACTTTTTTCTAAAAATTACTGATTTTTGGTAGCCTGGCCCTTGCCTTCCTACGCACTTCCGCTCAATTCTAGTTTCCCTACCCTGCTTCATCTGGGATTTCTTCAGGAGAATTTTTGTCCGGGCCAATCAGAGAACAGAACGTCGATGTTCTGCGCAGTGTCTGCTAGTTATTTTAGCATACGGCAGTGGAGGAAGTGAATGAAGCCAGTTGATAAGGCTTCCAAATTAAATTAAATTAGTCTGACAAAGCAGCAGCTCTCATTTTACAGCCGTCTCGTTCGGCTCAATAATTCTCTCCTCTCAGCAGGGTTGTTTACAGCGAGCACAATTTCCYGTTAGCTTCTTAGCTTAGCCTCCTTCACAGTGGAGCTAGCATACACATACGCCGCGGCCAGCCGATCCAATCATTTTAAACTTCAGCAGAGGCCACGCCTCCAGAAAGCATCACTTCTCTATAGCTGAGAGTCCAGACCCTCGTACGGGTCATGGTACGGGTCTGCCACTCGTCTGGTTGGTCTGAGGACGTCTCTCACCTTGTGGACGGTTCTTCTCGTTTAGAGGTAAATAAAGAGTCGATGTGTTAAATTAGTTCAGGAGGTTCTGCTGTTTTAAAACCTGGTGTTTAACCTCAGAGACTGTTTGACCCCTGTGACCTCTGAGCTGCTCCGTGGGGGAGAGGAAGGATTTTAGTTTTTTTTGTTTTTTTTTAGCAGTAAGATGAATTTTCTGTGCTGGAAGTTCAGTTTTTAAACACTTAGATTAGATGAATGTATTAGAAGCTATAATAACAAATGCATTACCTTCATGTTTTTTTTTTTACTTTACATCTACAGCTAAACATTTAGGTGCGTTTACAATTAACAATCAAAGATTTGTTCTTAAGTTTGAACCTGTTTTTTTTTTATTTAAAGTGGATCATTTTGTTGCAGATTTGTGAATTTTTCGTCGTCCAGCTCGTCTGTTTTCTTTTAGCTTCCAGGTGGATTATTTCTTCTAATGAGTTCGTCCTCAGGACGTGGCGCTCCTGTGACCCCGCCGACACGAACCTGCCGGCTGTCAGACAAGAGAGCGATGGTGTGTGTGTGACGGTGTGTGTGTGTGTTTATGTGTGTAAAGGAGAAACTTCCCCGCCTCCGGGCCGCCCTGTAGTCGTTTCTTGTGATCAGTGGGATCTGCGGCCCGACACTCGCTTTTTACGCCTCGCTGCCGTCTCAACTCATTTGTCTGGATTCACTGAAACRCCCCTGAGGGTGGGAGAACATGAGAGGAGGGGTCAGGAGGGTGTGTGTGTGTATGTGTGTGTGTGTGAGAAGGAGTTAAACTAAAGTGTGCAGAGCAGCTCGGTCCGGTCCAGGCAGGGTGGCAGCAGAACTCAAAGCTTTAAACCCAAACAGAAACGTTCTGTCCCTCATCAGGACAGAGCTCTGTTTTCCCATGATGCTCTGCTTTCTTCCCACTTTGGCTGATGTTCAGCTGATTCTGAGTGTTTCCACTTGAYACCAAGAAAAGCCGGAGACATGATTGGTCTGTTTGACTTTTGGGTGAGGTTTGAAGAAGCCATAACGATTCAGTCGGATGAACGCTGGACAGCAGGGCTGAAAAGGCCAGAAAGCCACGATATTTTAAATATAAATAATAATTTTAGTCATAACTTGAGATAGGAAGGAGCTAGCTGCACAAAATTTGTTGTGTGATTATGACAAACTCCACCCACACCAAAAACTACGTCAATCATGGTTAGGACAAGCTCCGCCCACACCAAAAACTACGCCAACCATGGTTAGGACAAACTCCGCCCACACCAAAAACTACGCCAACCATGGTTAGGACAAACTCCGCCCACACCAAAAACTATGCCAATCATGGTTAGGACAAACTCCGCCGACACCAAAATCTACATCAACCATGGTTAGGACAAACTCCGCCCACAACAAAAACTACGTCAATCATGGTTAGGACAAACTCGGTCCACACCAAAAACTACGCCAACCATGGTTAGGACAAACTCCACCCACACCAAAAACTACGTCAATCATGGTTAGGACAAACTCCGCCCACACCAAAAACTACGTCAATCATGGTTAGGACAAACTCCGTCCACACCAAAAACTACACCAACCATGGTTAGGACAAACTCCGCCCACAACAAAAACTATGCCAACCATGGTTAGGACAAACTCCACCCACACCAAAAACTACGTCAATCATGGTTAGGACAAACTCCGCCCACACCAAAAACTGCATCAACCATGGTTAGGACAAACTCCACCCACACCAAAAACTACGTCAATCATGGTTAGGACAAACTCCGTCCACACCAAAAACTACGTCAATCATGGTTAGGACAAACTCCGTCCACACCAAAAACTACGCCAACCATGGTTAGAACAAACTCCGCCTACACCAAAATCTACATCAACCATGGTTAGGACAAACTCCGCCCACACCAAAAACTATGCCAACCATTGTTAGGACAAACTCCGCCCACACCAAAAACTACGCCAACCATGGTTAGGACAAACTCCACCCACACCAAAAACTACGTCAATCATGGTTAGGACAAACTCCGCCCACACCAAAATGGTTAGGACAAACTCCGCCCACACCAAAAGCTACATCAACCATGGTTAGGAAAAACTTCGCCCACACCAAAGTCTACATCAACCATGGTTAAGACAAACTCCGCCCACACCAAAATCTACATCAACCATGGTTAGGACAAACTCCGCCCACACCAAAAACTTAATTTGGCAAAATATTTGTCTAACAGATGATTATCTCCTACCATTTGGCATAAGGTGGAAATGTTCAGACTGTGTGTTAGCAAAATATCTCATGAACTGCTTGAGGAATTTTAATGAAACGTGCACAAAGTGATCACACATCAATCAACCGTGGCTGTAAGTTTTTACAGATTTGGAGCTAAAATGTGCCTCACGACACCTCGAACGTGTATCACTCATCACCTTTCACCWGCCGAACCTCAAACGAGTCGATTTCTGAGACAGAACGCCTCGATCGATTTTTGGATGTTCCCGGTGACGTTCATGATTTCGTTCCCAAGTAGCTTTTTTTTTTAATGACACCTTTGAGAGTCATAATTACTTCTGGGATCAGATCCTGATCCAGACGTTTTGTGGGGGGCGGTGCGGAGAGGAGCTGACTGTGTGTGGTTTTTGTAATCCCTCACCGGGTGAGTCATCTGAAAGTCTTTTATCGTCCCTGGGTCTGTTTACGTGACGGAGACGGTCCCTGAGAGGACGGAGGAGAAAACTGAGCAGGAGGAGYAAAGTACTGTGTGTGTTTGTGTGTGTGGGGGTGTCTCTGTCCTCCTCTCCAGGTGTTCCCCCTCCTCCTCCTCCTCCTCCCCTCATCGTCGTGACCTTGACGTGAAGGAATGTGCTCCCTGTTCTGTGTCAGGAGGGAACAGGAAGAGGAGCTCCTCTGGCAGTCGCCTTTTAATCCCACCAACGTGGTTTTAGTTTCTTCAGTGCAGAGTCGAGCAGAACCTTCTTTATTCATGYCGATCTTCAAATTTTATTCTTCTTTCTTCTGTTCCCCCTTCAGGAGTCGACACAACGAGTCAACCTCCATATCCTCTAACTGCATCTTTGAAGCTTAGAGAGTAACTTACCCCAAAATTAACTTTTTTAGCTGATAAACTGTCTAGAATGTGTCTAAAATGTTATATAGTAC